ACCCTCAGCACAAGAAAAAATAACTGATACAAGTATATTCTGTCATTATGGCTGTAAATGTGCAGATGAAACCCTACATTCATTTTATAGAAACAAAAGGAAGAAAAATTCAAGTATGCTTGGTGATAAAAGTTTGAAGTACCAATACATGGAAAAGTTCCACCTGTAAATACTGGTGTGGTATTCTTTTCTTTATTAAACCACTATCTACAGTTCACTAGGATCACTTTGTTTCACTCCCAGTTCATGCATCTGCAATGTCTAGTTCCTGTCCACTCTACTGCAACTATGCCCAACCCAGGTTAGCCTAACCAAGCAGAGAAGGAACAGATGACTAATACTTAACCATTTACAACTAGAGAATGGCTCGAACTCCAACAATATACTGAAAATATTAATATAGGAGACGTATCTGTCACAGACTATCAGATTTCATAGAAAATCATTCCTCATTAGAAGAGATACAAACACAAATTAGAATGTAATTATTTAGAAGAAAGAGTAAAGTTCAGAGCAGTGTTTCTCAAGCTTTGAGCAACTGTGGACAACTACATGTGCAGTCAGTGCGCACACAGGCCACACAGCTATCATAACACTGCCCTTAGCTGTAAAGAGCATGTACTGCACTCTTTTCTGTGAACAGGAGAAAAATTATAGATAAAACTGCCACAACACCTTCTTTCTATCCATTAATTTAAAGAAAGTTATTTAAACAATGATTTGTCACAATTTTTAAAATTTAATTTAATTTAGATCATATAATATAAAGAATAATGTTAATCTGATTATAATGGTTTCCTATCAGAGTGCTGACACTGTTTGAAACCTTGCACCAGGATATCCATATTCAGCCGAATGGCAGGCATCTCGACCTGTAGGTGATGTCCCACATCCAGTGGGTTCCTTTTCTTACCCCTGATTTCTACAAAATTTAAAAATCCAAACTCAAAACAGTAGGGCATCAGGAATGGCAGCAAGTGTTTGAGAACTCTGCTAGATAGTTCTGGATATTTGGACCAAACACGGAACTTTGCTTTTTCCCCTGAAACTGTGTATGGGCTATCTGGTGAACTGCTTTGGACTACCAGCAGTCCATAGTCCACAGTTTGAGAAACACTGGTTTAGAAGTATTTCATCCAGTTTAAAGTGATTCATGCATATTTATGCTTAACATAGCTGCTATTCAAAAACATCTGATGGGCACTGCATTACTAACTACAAAAATGGCAGGAAAGCATACACCTGTAATTTATTCTACATATTACAGCTGGCCACTAACATAAGATTCAGAAATATTCTCCATCTATAGTATGATATGTAACAGACAGATAATTGCATATGTAGATCTGCCCATCTTCTGACTATAACAAAGCTTTCATATACAGACAGTCCTTCAGAAAAAACAATATGCAGTTGTGACCTTGTGTTTTGTGCTTTTCCTCGTTTCGAGGAATACAATTCACATGTTACAATATTACTATGTGATAATGCAAATACACACCTAAAATAATTTTACAACATTAGGAATGTCACCTGCTCCACCCCCCCTACAACAAAAACCAAGGAAATGAGTAGGTTAAGAAATAAAGTGAAGTTCTCTATAGTAACATGGTGTTTAAGTACAGCATACTTAAATATATCTAGAAGAATTTACTTGAGCTGAGAATTCTAATTCCTTCTGTCTTAAATGACATGCAGTTAATGGGAACACTCTAACATTTAGTTGTTTGAGTCCCCCTTTGCTTGTGCTTATTTCATAATTGGCCTTTGGACTGTTGCATAAGCACATAAACAAATAAAGAATTGTATTAAATCATCATCATATACTGATAAAACATGAAATGTTTCTCACTATTACATTTTATATTAGCCATGGTTTTTCCAATAATTTAAATATTAATTGTATTCATTGTAAATTGTATATATTTTACATTTCTCACTTCATAAAAACCTTGATTTCTGTTAATGAAGTTATTATTACTATCAAAATGACATAAACTGCCTTGTTTTTGTAATCTGTTTCTTTTTCATTCTTTATGCTCAGTAACTTGCCTCTGGACTATTCTATGCAAAAAAATGAGTTCAACTGAACACATTTTTCATGAAGGTACCAAGTACGCTCAAGCAGTAATGATCCTGGCTTGTATCTGGAAGCTACCCAGTATGAATCTTGATTGGGCTTTCTCTGTGCATCCTCAATCTCTCCCCCCCCCCTCCCCAGCAAATGCCAAGATAGTACCTTACATGAGGTCATGGTTGCTCCTCTCCACATCCTTCTCAATTCNATATATATATATATATCTTGGAATATACAATACAGTTTCAACAAATTTCATACCAGTAGCATAATAAACGGAAGGCAATGTAGGCTAAAATGCAATGCACTGAATTTATGCTCAAGCCTTCAGAAGTTGGTATAATTTTCTTATAAAAAATGACAGATCATATGTTATGTGAGATTTGAGGTTTTCACGGTGGTGACTATGAAGAAAACAGTCTTCTGGGATGTGGCACCGTGTAGATGTGGTGTTAACCGATGTTTCGGAGGAACGTATCGCCTCTATCTTCAGGGTAGAAGGAAAAATAAATAATCCGCAAGCGCAAGGTACCGGTTCTCACAGTCTCTTCGCTTGTGGCTTATTTATTTTTCCTTCTACCGTGAAGATGGAGGCAATACGTTCCTCCAAAACGTCGGTTAACACCACATCTTCATGGTGTCACATCCCAGAAAACTGTTTTCTTCAGATCATATGTTGTTTCTACATTCTTCATGAATCATTATATAATCATAAAGGCATGGAGTCTAGTACCCCACCAATCTTAAATGTAAACAGAAGAAGAAAACAAGAACATGTATACAAACTGGAAGTTCTTTGTTAATATGGCTTCTACAAATAGTTCCTTATGAATACCCCTACCAACAGGGCAATCTTCTTAAACACAAACCAAGACACAGATTTCATTGCATAAACATGAATCAGAATCTACTACACAAATTTCAAGTAACATTCTACTACCAAACCTGGCCACTCAAAACATGAGTGACCACTTATTTGGTTGCAGTGTATGTTTAATTAGTGTACAAGAGTACTGTACAAAAGGATTCAAGCACTGTAACATTGGAAATATGTTAATAAATTATTAAAAAGACTGAAAACTGTGAACATGTCATGTACTGAAAACTAGTCACATAATATCCACTTCACTTCACTGCAGGAAGCTCAATAAGATTACTGTTAATGTCTTGAACAGAAACCTTTCTGGTTTCAGTCTGGTATTTCAGATGAGGAGCATCAAATATTTCATACTTGAGTTTTGTCAATGTGCATTTAAAATATATTCATATTTAATTGGCCATTCAAACTTTATAATATCACAACTTAAGATCACAGTAAAGCCTGTTTTTCACAAGGGGCCCAAAGAGACGCAAAATATTTCTCTGACTTGATGTATCATGTTAATAAATTTTTGATGTGATGTTAACATATACATCAGTCTAATACTGAGAGCTACTTTAGCAATTACATTTGTATGATAGACTGCTCAGAATTTCAATATGAACACACAATTATTCAAAGATAGGCAGAATATGTCTCGATCAATTCCAGACTCTCATGATGTACTTCATCTTGAATGTTATTTATTAGCAAAATCCATGTGCAGTCAGCAGGTCTCACCAAGCTCCATGGTAACTACCAAGAAACAGTATTTTCTAAGTAACACTGAACAAGATTTAATACCAAGCTATAAATGCATAACATTGGGAAGCTTACATTCCACCAAGAAATAATCATGCTCTGACCAAGGCAGTAGAAAGACCAAGCAGCATAAAATAATGTAACGTGTTTGGAAAAGACACTTCCATAGTAACACAACAACAGTGAGCCGCTGCGTCGGGAGCATCGAATCTCCACGGTTACAATGAATACACGGAGCGTTCCCACAGAGACAACGCAATAACAGTGGGTCGTTGCGTAGGAATCGCAGAATCAACAAAGCAGCGTTTCCACGGTTATAACAGAGGGTTCATTTGCATAGCAGCGGCCAAGGGTATAAAAAGGGGCTGAATGCATTCGCCAGAGAGTCTCGGGGCAGATGCCGAGAGATACAGAAGTAAGTCTTGGAATAGCCGCCACTGAAGAAAGTTGAAATATAGTAGCCGCCGCGGAATACAGTTAAGGTGATAATTGTATGGTGTATAAGTGTGTGTGTCCAATAAAGATTCGCTGAATCCGAGACCCACGTGAATGTATTTGTTGCGTGACATACCCAACACATGACAATACTAAGAGAAAATTATGAAGCTAGCAATAATAATGTGCCACAAAGCTTTCTGGTCCTTCTTGGGAGTGGAGATTCTGAACATGAAAAAATTTAAATAAGCTACCAATTTCTAGAAAACTAAAATATAACATGAATGATGTAAAGGTCAGCTGAGTGTCTAATCGCACAAACAAATCCTATCCTGACTGGGAACATGCTGAACTTAGGTTTCAGTATTTATAGAATACAAATCCACATCAAGAAGAAAAGAAGGACCAACAAACTTTTAAGCCTCCCATGCAACTACCAACACCAAATTTAATGTATTTTAGTTGCACTTACAGTGTTCCTTGTGATCTCTAACAAAAAATACTGCGCTACATAAGTTACTAAAGAGCATTTAAATCTTGCATGTGCTCTCTCCCAAAGAAAATTAGGATGCTGAGTACCATACAGAAAATGACATTCCTTGCATTTTAAAAGGAAGATCAAATAAAAACTAGATTAGCAGCCTGAACAGAGCAACAAAGCAAAACAAGGTTCACTTATGGATGGCAACCATGGAAAGTCAGGAAATTTTAGCCTTATGGTAATCCAAACTATCAAGGGAAAACTCTGTAACATGCAAATATATAGCCTCTCATACTACAAATATCCTGCTGGAAGTGACGCTACTGTATCGTAACAGCATAATCACACATAATGGATCCTACATTTTCCCTAGCAGTAACAATTACCTTGGTCTTCTTGTTGGTCTATATCCATAATATGATGACCCTCTACTTCTTCCTCCACGATACCCCCTTCCCCGTGGTGGCCGATTGGTCATGCTCATCCCAGGACGGTTTGTACGTTTTGGCATTACCTAGAAACAAATTTTAAGTATTTACTCTTCTGTTCGTTTTCATCAACACTTGGAGTGCAGTATTAAACATGTGACCTTTCATAACTTCATACATATTAAGACCATCTGTTTGATACACTGTACTTCTAAACATGGTGAATGTTCACCATGGAGTCAGCCACTCTACACAAAACACATTCTTCAGAGATGTAAGAGTCCTCAGTCTACACAGATGACCTACCAAATGGTTCAGGGTGACTAGAGTTTAAACACTGCAAACAAAATACTTACTACAAATTAATGGATAACACTTCCATTCGGAAAGATTTTTATGCTTCAAACAGAATGTGTAATTTACAGATTAATGACCACTGTATCACAATTCCTTTTCACTGTGACATATTAACAAATGTTGAAACTTTCACCACTTTCTTGTATCCAAGTGGGTTCAATGGCATTACTGATTACTGACTGCATCATGAAATTTAACAGTTTTACTAAATTACATATTGTATGTTAAAACAGTACTGATTGCTTCCAATTCTACACTAAGTGAGGCAACTTGGATTCAAGTACTAAATAAAATCTGAATTAGATCACAGTAACTTCTAGCTCCAGCATTATTTGTATCCCTTCATAGCAAATCATCTGTACATATGTGTAACTGCAAATTTCTAAGTCAAACTTACCATTTTATCATGGATGCTGCCATAATCTCATGGGAGGAAGCAAATTTGCTAACACAATTATTTCTAACCTTCTCTGTACCACATTTCAATCATTTCCATAAGACCTTACAGCCCAAAATAAATGGCAGCATTTAATTATAACTGGTCCCCTTTCACACAAACAAAAATTTCTCCATAACTATCAACGACAAAAATATAAAATGAAAGTACCTTAACCATTCAGCGTGGTTTGATGTGTATGTTTCGTCAGGTATTTAAATCGTCTGCGGGGGTTCGACGTCTATGTTTCGTCCAGCTGCACACCTATGTTATAACGCCCATAATAATTGATGGTTTTGCTGTAGATTGTTAGATTTTTCGCTGGCCTGTTGTCAGAAGGACAGTATATAATGAGGCACGAGTTTTTCTGTGCTAAGTCATCGTTACATATGCCTGTCTTGCAGCAAAATTCCTGTTGCTCTTGGGAGAGGTTTCGTCATTCAAACTGTCATGAATGTCTTGTTTTCTTTCCTATGAAGTTATAAACAGCAGAGACGTGATATGTGCTGTGTTTATAATATCATATTGCCCTGAGCTGGCCNTTTTTTTTGAGCCAGCTAAGCTCTGCTTTCGTGCACTACATACCAGCCAGTTCTTAGAATAACTTCATGAATTCTGTGGTCACCCCTACGACATCTACTGCCGCCAAAATGAACGGAATATCAAAGGCATAGCAACAACCCCTTGTTATGATAACTCGTAACGTTGAATTTACTACAGCTGACCTGGCAACTAAACGGGTCACGGAAAGACATTTATACCCCTCACGGGGAAGAAGGCAAGGCCGCACAGAAGATGTGTGTTTAAAAAAAAGAGCCAAAGAAAAGATGCACAATATTGGAGCGGTGAATGTGGGGCAGCGTTGGGTTAGACGAATGCTTCAAGGCCTACACTACACTGCTCAAATTCTAAACCAACTGCTTCCATTGCCGAGATACCGGGCACTCATATTATAAGGTAAGGTTATAAAAACCATCTTTTAAGATCATTTTAGTGAAAGTTTCATGCTTCAAGGCGTACCATTCACTGCTCAAATACTAAACAACCTGCTTCCATTGCCGAGATACAGGGCGCTCATATTATTAGGTAAGGTTATAAAACCACCTTTTAAGATCATTTTAGTGAAAGTTTCATGTTCCTATCTCATATAATTTAAGAACAATGATGAATAAATCATTTTCGAGCAAAATTTAAATGGACGGCTGAATATATTACCGCCGGAGAGACGGCAGCGGAATTTAAATGACCGCGCGAAAGGGTTAAAGCAAACAAAACAGAGATGTTGGCACTGCAAAAATTTCATTTCTATAATATTGTGATGCGCTGCGCAATGGAGGACATCCCCTCCTCCCCAGAAGTACGTGGCAGCATCGTAGTGCTGTCGTTACTATGGTAATAGGCAAGTCAACACCCCGCCCCTCTCCCCGCGGTGACGTAACACGCAACGCTGCAATTGCTACGTACCTGTAAACAACTCCCAACAGCGTTGCTAGGCAACAGGCAAACACTGCGACTATATAAGGGCCACCGAAGACAGTTCACAAGTCGGCAGTGAACAGTTCTCAAGGCAGCAGCCTACGGAGTGAGTTGGAATATAGTAGCCGTCGCGGAAAGAAGAACCAGACGTGTGTGTAATTGTGAGTGTGTGATACAGGGACACTTACACAGCTCCCATACTGCAAATACGTGTAGACTATTGAGGACAGAGTCAATTGATTATTGTGAATAGGGTTATAAAGTGTGAAACCCCACAACAGTGTTGTAATTAACTGTAGCCGATACTGGTAGGTTGTTAAATAAACCAATTAACAATCTGAACGGCGTCTTCAGTAGCAAACGTTACACTGGTGTCAGAAGTGGGATCAGTGGTTAAACACGTTAAATTTGGTGTCAGAAGTGCTTTACGAACTTGAACACGCCACAAGTTACGAGTGTTACACTGCCACATGATGAATATTGAAGAAATGTTGGAATGCCTGCTGGCCCAAGGAGATTTCATGGCAAAATTAGACGCCAACTCAAAAGCCTGGCAAGAATATATGGCCACAGAAATAGAAGCCATACGAGCAGAAACAAGAGCTACCCAAGCAAGGACGGAAACCATCAAAGCAAGGACGAAAGCCACGGAAGAAAATATGGGCACCAGCCACATGGAGATGGTGTCCGCGGCACGAAAAGAGGTCCCCACAGTGATAATGGTCATAGAACCTGAAGAAACAACAAATACCAGCAAAGAGATAATGGCCTGCCAAGAGATGGAGGCACGTCTAGAAGAAAAAGAACCGACCTCAGTGGACCGGAAACCTGAGGTGGCCCAATGCGAAGTCCCCAACGAAAATGCCATAGTGAAACCGGTTAATGGACGGAAGAAGCAGTATAGGGGCAAGAAGCAAGCTGCAGGGCGACGTGGAGAGCCATTAAACTAACCCGAGGAATTTGTGGATCCCGGATGAAGTTGGCCGCCACCTGCAGGAAGGTCTCCCACCGTGCAACAGTGGCATGGTGCAAGAGTAACATCTTCAAAAAATCTACGACCCAAGGAAACTGTGGACCGTGGCACGAATTGGCTGCCGACAGAAACATGACTAGTCGTGTGACACAGCGCAAGAGAGACCCGGTAAAGAAATATTCAACCAGGGCCAATGCTGGACAAGAAGCCTGGAAACCAAGGACGGGAACCATGACAGGACAGAAGTCCAGGAGGAGGCGTCAGCCGCAACGGAAATGCAGCGAGGGCATGAGGAACCAGGACGTGGAGGAACTGCTACGCCTGAGAGAGAAGACCGGCATCGTGATTTTCGGAGGAAGGTTCGCGACACAAGTAGTCAGTACTTCCAACGGGTTACAGAAAATTAGAACGTGGACACTATGGAGGGGTAGGCCCCCTCCAAAGCGAAAAAAGAAACAACGGATAGAGGAGGAACCGGTAACACAGAAGTACTGGCTCCCCGAAAAAGAGTGCCTGTGCGACGAATGAATGTGATACAACGGGATCTTCTGGCGAGCTGAAAGGAAACTGCTCAAGACGAGCTGGTCTTAAGAGGGAGCGGTTGTAATGGCCAGAGAACAGTCTCTGCAAGGAGTAGCCGAAATACCAGAAGACGCTATTTGGGACGAACAGCCTTAAGGAGGGAGCAGTCTGACATGTTCCACAATGGAGGACACCCCCCCCTCCCCAGCAGTACGTGGCGGCATCGTAGCACTGTCGTTACTATGGTAATAGGCAAGTCAACAGCCCGCCCATCTCCCCGCAGTGACGTAACACACAACGCCGCAATTGCTACGTACCTGTAAATAACTCCCAACAGCATTGCTAGGCAACAGGCAAACACTGCGACTATATAAGGGAACTACACAGCCGCCGAAGACAGTTCTCAAGTCAGCAGTGAACAGTTCTCAAGGCAGCAGCCTACGAGTTGAGTTTGAATGTAGCCAGCGGAGAGTTAGTTAGTTACGAGTTGGCCAGGGAAGAGCCAAATAATTGTAATACTGCAGGTAGCAGTAGTTGTCAGATTGTGAACTGTGAGATTGTATGAGCGAATGTGAAATAAAATTCACTATATCCAATAAGGCGTGAAGTTATTTGTCGCGTTATACACCCAATATGTGACAATATATTATATACCAGAAATAAAAAAATCAAAACAGCAAGTGACTGCTTTATTTACGTCTGCCATGTGAAACCTATGGTTGTCCCACACCAAGGTATAATCCTCACAAATCAACTTCACTTACATCATGCAATAGTGCACAGCCCACCCTCACATTTTTCACATCAGGTAAGGTGTACATTTACTTGTTCTGTGAATGAAATAGACATAATTTGCAATTGTTTTCCTCTGAATGACCAGTGCTGCTTGTTACTGGCTTCCAGGAAATTTACTAAATAGACACACTACTGCAGTCCTCAAAAATTATGTTTCATAGAAATTCCTTGAACATTACAGATTTTTCAATCTTACGGTGGATGTCTGTACACATACTTACGGTCTGCAAAGCCATGCTGTCAGTAACTCAGCAACAGAGGCACTGACTTGTAGGATTAATGAATAATTAATGAAGATGTGGAACAAGGTGCTCAGGGTCTAATTTCAGGTATGTCCCAGCATAGGCCTGAAGGGACTGAGGAAAACTGCAAAGAACCTCAGTTGGGGTAGTTAATGTTTTGTCAACATTCGGGTAGTTAATGTTTTGTCAACATTCGGGTAGTTAATGTTTTGTCAACATTCGAACAAATCACCTCCCAAATACAAGTCAGAAACATGACTCAGGCCAAGAGTAATGCCATTTAAA